CCCTCAAGCCGAAATAAATATATTATGTGTATATACTATTTGTATTTACACGTTACAAATATCTATTATCTTAATATCAAACCGTTAGCCCTAAGGCCCTAAGCCCCAACCCTAAAACCCTAAACCCTAAGACCCTAAATACCCTACAACCCTAAAACCCTACAACCCTAACACCCTCAAACCCTAAAACCCTAAAACTCTAAAACCCTAAAACCCTAAAACTCTAAAAACCCTAAAACCCTAAAATCCTAAAACCTTAAAACTCTAAACTCGTTTGAGCCCTGAACCGCCAAGCTGACCTGGCGGCCTGGAGCCTGCGGGCTTGCCGGCTTGACCTCGTCTAAGGTTAAAACCATGGGCCCCTAGTATGGGCCCCTAATCCTGGGATCCTTTTATACTTATTATATACCCTATATGTCCCCTTAAGGGTCCCTAGAAAGGCCGAAGGGCCCATACTAGGGGCCCACACTTCTAACCTTAGAGACCTCTTGCGAGGGGCGCAAAAAGGACGTTCCCAAACAAGGCTTAGGGTTTAAGGTATAGGGTTTAGGGTTACAGTCCGTTTTAGGGTTCAGGGTTTAGGAGTTTAGGGTGAAGGTTACTGGGTTTAGGGTTTTAGGGTTCGAGGTTTAGGATTTAGGGCAAGGTTCCCCACACGGTTTTCTTGACCCAAAGTTTATTCCATAAGGGGTACTCGTCCTTCATGTGAGGATATATGGGGCGATGAGAATTGCAACGACTTGGAGCTTTATGGAATACAGCAGCGGCTGGTTTCCAAGGGGGGTGGCCATCCTACATTACATACCTCGCAGTAGAAGCCTATATTTGGACAAAGAGTAAGGCCACAAGAAAGCAGCGAAAGCAACTAGATGGCACTTACTCTTGCCCCAAAGGCGAGAAGCACACGACCTGCTTTCAGCGTGGAGATCTCGACTGGTTTCCTTGATTTGGGGGTGCTTTTAGAAGCCTCATAGTATAGACCACAAAATACTGTTTTAGGCAAAGTCTTGTTGAGGTATTTCGAAGAATGAGGATGCCTAACATGACCCCGAAATAGTCCCTTCCCCTAATAATACACCACCCCCAGCGCCATAAACATTTTCCCCCTAGTATATATTGGTACCATATGGGGGGGTTGGGGGAGGGGATGACTAGTTCTTATTTAAGTCTTGTGCTAGGCATGGAAAAAGGGAACGTCATTTTCAGAACCCTAGACGGTAAACAAATCCCTTTACATCCTGATCTGGCCCCTATATCCCTGGGTTGTCGTATCAATAGGAGGATTTTAGTAATTCGTTTGGTGATACAAGACCCTTTAGGTTTTTGGACTATCTAGGGTCTGGGGCTTAGGGTTCAGGGGTAATTTCCCACAGAATGAAGAATCAAATGGGGAAGAAGATGGCAAACGAAATGGAAACTGTAACTATACAGTGGTTTATAGAGAGTGAGACTGGATTTCCAACCCCAACCCCGAAACTGGAAACCCTATTGCAGTCATATGATACCTTTTAGGTCCTTATATTGGGGTTGGGGTAACCCAAATCCCGGTATTCTCTACCCTTATGGTCCGAGCGTGCAAACATTGGAGCTGAGTGCATTTCATAGCTGTAGAAATTTCCAGGGCTTTCTGCCAATGTGTCTGAGGGAACTTTCGTTGCAAACAGAATCCTACACCTCAATATGGGTTTAGGGTTTAGGGGTCTTATAGGGATCTGTTAGGTTTAGGGTTCAGGGTTTAGGGGTGTATCGCGCTCGCATGGTTGCACAGTTCGTCAGGGACTCATCTACGAGCTTCTCGACAAAAAAATCCAATACTCCTTGGTTCAGGAGTATACCTTCTTCTTTCAAACAAGCAGCCTAAATGTGATTAAGACACATTTCCGAATAAAGGGTATTAGGCTCACTGGGTGGTTGCAGCTGAACTCTAATGTTAGAGGGAAGCCTAGGTGGGTCTAGGGGAGATATATAGGGTTATGTGATTACATGGGGATGTCCCAATAATGGGTTATGTAGGGGACATGGAACAGAAAATGCAAACAACTTCTAGGGATTGGGGCTTTGGGTTTAGGGATATCACGCCCAAAAAAGAATATCCATTCGGACAGGAGAATGGAAATGAAACTGAAACTCCTTTACGGGCCTATAGGTTTGATACTAACAATCCTACCTTGACTGAGGTGTTGGTTTTCAGGTTAACCCTGGGTAGTATTTCGACTGGGGTATTATCACCGGAAAGTGTAAGGTTGTACCTTCCTTTTGGACACTTTCTTTCACAAGAAGTACATAGTCTTACTTGGTTCAATCACCAAAACAAAAGGCTACTTGCCCCTGCAAGGGCTAAGAGACCCCGAGGCCGCAGTGGCAAGTTAATGCTGCGTGAGCAGCACCACCGGGATTCGTAGACCCGAAATGGACATGGAATTTCTCAGAATCATGGGGCTCTTTTGGGAGTATCTTTTTCAGGAGGCTCAACGACAATTGGGTAACAAGTGGGGCCCAAACTGCTAGGAGTGTTCAAGCCTGTTTATCTTAATTGCTGTCAAGGAGTTGCACCATGATGTGGATATGTAGTATGTCTTGGTGTTTTCGTCATAATGGCAATTAAACGCTCTGAATCTGATATGGGGGTTTCCTTAAATTAGGGGTACCCATTTTGGAGGTCCCTATAATGGGGATGATAGTATTTTGGGGTCTATATTGGGGTCCCCTGATTTTGGGAAACTACCACATAACCCCATTATAGTAGTTTCCATTTTCTTTTCCATTACCCTATATAACCCCAGGAATATATACCCTAGAATCCCCATATAACCCTAATGGGCCCCCTATTTTGGGAAACTACCATATAACTTAGGAGGACCCCCCACCCTGTAATAGTGATATAATAAGAATATAAGAGGACCCTAATATAATCCCTATTATCCCTTATAGTCACTATTACTACTACCGCTAAACCCCAAACCTTAAATAATCCCTATTATTCCTTGTAGTCACTATTATTGGTTGGGGGGGTCCATCTACCATATAACCCTTACCAGCAATCCGGCTATTGGTCCTGCACAGGCCTCGCCGCCACGGATGGCTGTTGGCTGCCTGCTCAAGTGAGCACACAACGGTACAGAATTGGGGTCCATGGAGGACATGGTAGTTTCCCAAAATGAGGGGACCCCAATATAGACCCAAATGTATTATAGTCCTTATTATGGGGGCCCCTAAAATGGTACCCCTAATTTTGGGAAAGCCTCAAATCTTGCAGCACCACTTAGGATCCCCACAATACTGTATTTATTGTGGCGTAGACTATATAAGGTAATGCAAGATTCCTTCCATCCATGGTAGTTGGCCAAGAGTTCCTCGAAAAGAAGGCCTTATCGGGATTGTAGTCAATGGGGCCCTACATTGAAGTTCCGCCATTTATGGAAACTGTCAGCTTGCACGGAAACCTAGGTTATCGTCTGGGATACCTGTTAACTTCCCTTGTTTTACGACGAGACTAGGGTCTGCTAAGGTCCGTTAAGAATCCAGTAGTTCGTTACGATCTCGATGCTTGCAATCGGCAAGCAGGTTGCTGCGATCCACCCAAAGCCGTTGTGGGTTTAGGGTTTAGGGTTGTTACCCAAACGGACCTCAGGCTTGATAGGGTTTAGGGGTTTAGGGTTTAGGGGTTTAGGGTTTAGGGTTTAGGGAACAGCGAACGATGAGGAGCTTTGACTATTGCTCAGAGATGGGCATTTCTCAGTATGATCCTTATATGACCCCATATGGTAGTTTCCCAAAATAGGGGGATCCCAATATAGACCCCAAAATACTCAAGTCCTTATTATGGGGATCCCCAAAAAGGTACCCCCTTGATTTTGGGAAACCCCCATAATATGATCCCCCCACATATCGCTGGGAGTCCCTAAGGAATCCGACTTTAGAAGCTCCCATATGAGCTGGAGTCTAAACTCCTTCAAGGGGGTTGCATAAGGAATTATATAGGGCACGATTATAAGGGTTTTTAAGGGGGATGATAGGAGTTTAGATTATAGCTCCTATGATAAGCATTGCTGGCCTAAGATACAGGGAGAGAGAACCGCCTACTGCATCTTATCCCGACCGCTTGCTACCAGGATCAGGAACAGCCAGCAGACCTTTTTGGGACCCGTGACGGGTTTTGCGATAGGAGTGTAGAGGGGCCCTGGGTTTATTCCTAAACCTTAGGGTTTAGGGTTTAGGGTTCCTAAACCTTAAACCCTAAACCCTAAACCCAGTCAAAGCCCTGACATGCCGTCTTCTGCGCCCCTTATGAAGTAGAGATCCTTTTTAAGTTGCCGAGGTCCTAAGTCCACAACCTGGGCTAGTATCATTACCAACGTTATGGTCCCAGATGTCTTGTGTATCCATGGTATGGGGTACCTCAAATCGACTAGGCCTCAAAATGGTCCTGGTATGTAGTATATGGGCCCCGACAGTACTCTAAACTGGGCTGATCAAGGTTTTCGGGTTTGAGGGCCTTTGCACGAAGGTGGCTACTATGAGAACCTCAGCCAACTGGCCAGAAGTGATTGAAGGCCTCAAATGATAACAATACGAATAATGCTTTTTATACCATACAACTTTTTCTGCTAGTAACAATACTATTCAAAGTAAGATGAACCATGATAACAATAGTATTTAGAACTACTAAGTATTCAGGCCCTATAGCGTATTGAACCTGGGTCGGTTCGGCATGCGCACTGAATGAGCGACTACAACACTAGATGTCTCGCGCGGCAGGGGCTCAAAGGCAAGCTTTGCCACTATGTAGAAACCCAATCAATTGCACTATCAGTGACTGAGTTTTTCTTGTTTGAGCACCCCTTGGAATAGGGAGCGTGAGATTCTCGGTTGAGAGCAATGTTTAGGGTGTAGTGTTGCTGCAAGATTTGCTTTGCATTTGGTATTCCAGACATGTCTGCTACATCGAGGCAGAGCTGAAGCAATAGCCGATCTGAGAGAAGGTCATAAGGCTTTGCTAAATGCTGAATGAAAGCAAGCTTTCAAGACTCCGGACTTCACAGCTTTCAAAAGGAAAGGCCAAGGGCAAATTCTTTAGCAAGTTGGACCCTCCAGCGGAATTCTGCAAGGGCAAGCCGGAGAAGGGCAAGTTTGGCAAAGGTAAACTTGGCAAAGGGAAGCTTAGCAAAGACAAGTTTGGCAAAGGCAAGTTTGGTGGCTGGGACAGTGATGTCTCAGAGGATGATATCGAGCCGGAGAAGGGCAAGTTTGGCAAAGGTAAACTTGGCAAAGGGAAGCTTAGCAAAGACAAGTTTGGCAAAGGCAAGTTTGGTGGCTGGGACAGTGATGTCTCAGAGGATGATATCGA